TGCGGGAATGTAACAGAGGCTCCCAGGGTCTGTCTGTCCACCTTGACGTCACAGGTTCCGCCTTCCAAAAACCATACACATGGTTTCAGATACAGACATGTGTGACCAAACATCTTCACCACTTGTGTCTGGATTACAACTGTCCTGTAAACATCCATTTCCTTCTAGTCCTTGAAAGTGCTCCACCGATTCTGAGAGTTTTCAACGCTATTCCTGTACAGTGATTCTGACTCTAAATACGACTGGAGTGATAGGCCAGGGCAGAGTGATTCATTCCGGGAGATTCTGGGGGACAGAACGCTTTCAGGGAGCGGGCTGTAAAATGCGATTAACTGCTAACCAATAACAGCTAACATTGGTCCCAGGTTAACATGCACACTTTCCCGATCGTTTTGCATGAATAATCTCATTGAAATCACAATTTTTTTTTTTAACCTCAGGAAGAAAGTGAAACACAGAGAAGTTAATTGACTTGCTTAAGGCCACACAGCTAATAAGTAGCAGAGCATACAAAAAAAGGAAAAGTTTGGCCTTTGAGGAAGGACCTAGAGAATTTTATCATTCCCAAACACATGAGGCTGTGGGAATACAAATAATAGAAATCCAGTCCCCGCCCCCAGGAGCTGACATTCTGACAGAGAGAACATAAACGATTCAGAAGTCACTAACTTGATGCCCCAGTGTTTATTGAGCACATGCTATATGCCGGTCACTCGAGGGACTGGGGAGATAGCAGCCTCATGGAGCACCCAGTCTACTGGGGAGATAGACAGAAACTAAATAAAAGAATATTGTAAATAACAATGACGTGAGATGAGTGCCGAATTCTCTTATAGCAGGTGATTCGAGAAGGCTCCCCTGAGGCAGTAATAGCAGTGAGACAGTTAATACTTGGGGGAAAAGCCACCATTTCCAGGAGTCTGGGACTGGCCCAGGAAGCCCTGGGATCTGTGCACCTGCGCTCCAGGTGCGCTGGAGAATGGGGCGGGAGAGAAGCCCATCCGGGCAAAGGGGTTGAAGTGGGCACGCAGGGCTGGGCCTGGTGCTGGTGAGAGTGACCGGCAGCTCCACCTGACCACCACGTGGGCCGAGAGCAGGAGGGAAGGGAGAAGAGTGTGGAAGTGTACGTGTGGGGGAAACATTGGAAAAGGAAAGTCTACCATCTAATGTCTCTCATGCTTGACCTTGACCCCTCCTCTTGCTTTGTTCAGGCTCACCCTTCAGTCCCATCTCAAACTGTAGTCAGAGGGAAGTTCTCGGAGAGGCAAACTTTCCCATCCATGACCCTCTGCTGCCCCCAAACGCCTTCACGGACTGGGCACCATTTTCAGGAGGAAGGTACAGATTCCTTAACTCTGGTACCTGGGGCCCCCAGGGTCCAGCCACACCCGCCCTCCACCTCCACTCTCTCCTTCAGGCTGCTCAGCCTCCAGGAGCCCTCCCTGTACCCTGCCTGGGACTGACTGCACTGCAGGGGCAGGCATTTCTCCTGGCCTGTGTCCCCACCAGACTCTGCAGGGCCTGCCCCCGGCTCAGCCACTCCCAGGGCCAAGCTTGGGAGAGAGCCAGGGAGCAGCTTCGCCCCCTCCCTCCAACGCCGCCGGTGCTCCTGCTCCATCCACCAGCCCTCCGTTGCCCTCCCTCCTGCCCCACTTGCAATCTGTGCTCCTCTCAGTGCAGCAGACCTTTGCGGAGAGGAACATCTCTCTCTAGGTGTGGGTTCCCGGACTGATTTTTATCTGTTGCTTTGCTGCCTGTCTTTCAGTCGTGTTCACCAGAGACCACAGTTCCCCACGCGTATGCCCCTCCCACAGCCTGCTTTCCCTGAGGTACAAAACATCTGTTTGTATTTTCTTCCCTTCCTCCCAACCCCCGCAACTTTTGAAAAAAGTCTTTTTCATGCTGCATTGCAAAACATGCTGTTATTAGTGTGCCCCTTGCCTGCCATGTTTTCTCGGTATTCCATTCCTCTTGCCTGCCAAGCACCCTTGACCCGTGGAAACGTAACGGTCACGCCAGCACCAGTCAGTGTCCTGCAAGCCGTCTCATTGGCTGCAAGCACACACAGCACACATTTTCACGAGATTGGAGTGCTGTGAGGAGGGAGGGTCAGGGACCCAGAAATACAGCAGCAGGGCCCTTGGCCTCCAAGCAGAACTGTCGATTAACTGTTAAACCGGAAAATGCCCGTGGGCAAGGCAGACACAGCTTTCACATACCCAAGAACACGGATTTAGTGACCCAAAGACTAAATCCAGGTAGATAAAAGAAAATACTTTTGGGGGAGGAACCGTGAGCTAATCTGGTGGCTTATGGTGCATTCATAATGGCAAGAAAATGGGAGACTAATATTGTAACTAACACTTAAATCAATTTCTGAAAGGCATTTGCACAGAATATCATTCATTCTCCTAACCAGCATTTAACAGGCTGGTAAAAGTTGAACCACTTGGCAGATGGATGTTTAGACGTTAAGTATTTTTTTCATCCCAGGCAACAGACTGGAATCACCAGGGCTTGGACTGAATTAGGAAGGGTAGAGGCTAAGCATTAGTGGGTTTAAAAGCTCCCCAGGTGATGCCAATGGGCAGCTACAGTTCAGAACTGCTGATGTAAAAAGCCAGAACGTTCAAGGATCTTTAGTACCCAGCGTATTCACTACTACACAGAACACTCAACCTCTGAGCCCTGCCATTCTTCCTTGCATCGGGTCTGAATGCTTTTCCCAGAAGATGGGCTGCTTTTCAAAATGGCAGCCCAGGAGTTTGCAAGGAGTGCGTTCTGCCACATCACAGCTCTGATTTTACATAAGCCACTGCCCTGCTGGACTTCAGAGCAGAGAGAATGGGGACACCCCGCCCCTTCCACAGCACACGTTCCCTTCCTAAGTTTCTCGCCACCTGCCTCCGTGGCTTCGCCTTCTCCTTCCCCCACCCTTTAACCCCTGAAGTCGCTGCAATTATTTGTTTTGCCTACTTTCCTGGTCCTGTATAAACAGCAAATAACACTACTAGCAAATCTTAATTCTTAAATGGCATTCTGTCAGTAAGAGCTTCTCTTCTGGCTAAAAAGTGAGTTCATATTTTATCCTAGCGTGAGACAGAAACCGACCAATCAAAACACCTGTGTTGAATGCTCAGGCAAATTGAAAGGCAAGAGTGAAAAACAAATAGGTACAGCGCACAGATCCCCAGAGATCTTACCATCCAGGCCTTCGGGGTGACACACTAGAGCCACCCCCAGCAAAATCCGGCCCCCACCTGTTTCTGTAAATAAAGTTTTATTGGAACACAGCCATTTTATATATATATATATATATATACAGTCTATACCTGCTTCTACACAACAATGACATAACTGAGTAGTTATGAAAGAGACCATCTGGCCTCCTTAGCCAAAAAAAACCTTACAATCCAGCTTTTTACAGAAAAGGTCTGCCAATGCTGATTTAAACAAACAATGACTGTGTGTGGGAGGGGTGTGCTCACCATCCTTTGAACAAATATACGTGTGTGGCGGGCACTGTACTAGGCCCCAGGGAACGCATTAGTGTAAAACAGAGAGGATTCCTGCCTCTAGGAGGCCCACAGTCTACTGAACTGCCCACCACTCCTGAAATTAAACCAACACCGAAAAGGAGGCCTGTGGAAAGGGGAGGGAAATGCTTGAGGTTGGACAGACCCATGGGTAACTTCCATAAAATTGCCTGGGAACCATAGAGGTGGATTCTAAGTCAAAGTGGGTGAAGAGGAGAGCGGGGCAAGCCTTGGCGAAATCAGAAAGAGGAAGCAGAAAAACCCACGTCGTGGATGAAGGGAGAGCGAGTGGCAGGTGGACTGCCTCCCGGGAGGTGAAATGAGAGGGGAAGACGGCGTGATTTGTTCACCACTTGTCTTCCACGCTGGACCTGAGGATGCATGAGGGTGTGGGCAATGTTTATGTGGTTCACCTCTGTCCTTAGAATTAAGCAACATGCTTGCCATAGAGTAGCTGTGCTTGATGAACATTATTTAAAAATTAAATGTCAGATGAGTAAATGAATGTCTTGGATATAAGGTCAGATATATTATAAACCAGCTGAGCCAAGCATCTCAACCACGATCTCTGATCTTACTCCAAAACAAAAGGGTGTTTGGGGAGCTAAGAAAGCTGGTGATTATTGAAATACTGCTGCACAACCAGTCTTTTACAAGCAAGAAATGATTTCATTTTCTTAGCCCCCCTTTTATCTGGTATGTGGAAAAACTGAGATTTGAAGAGATTAAATAACCAGCCAACATCACACAGCCAGAAAATAGCAGTCAGAATCGGACCCAAGTCTTGCTTTGTTATTCTCAGATCCAAGGCTATTGGCACACACCCATGCCTACCAATCACTGTCACACCATGTCCCCCATTAAGGGCCACCGAGACCAGTTTGGTAGCAGTGGGGACCGGGAACACTGGCTCCCACCTGCTCCAAGCAGAGCAGTTCCCATTTTCTCTGCTTCACATGTGGGGCTTCCTGATCTCATCCAGCCAGTTCTCGGGGGGGACAAAAAGGAATTAGAAACCACTGTTCTGGACCATGCTACTTCCGAAAACAGCGCCATCACCCATCTGTGGCTGTGGGATCCTGGTCAGTGACTGCTTCCTTCCGTCCTTACACAAGGAAGACTGGCTGACAGTGCTGAAATCCTGCTCTGCTTCTTGATTCTCCACAGAGAAGATTAAATGAAAATCTCATTTAACGAATGAAAATAGCTGGGCCACCTTGACTGAAATTCTAGATAAACTTGTAATTCCGTCAATGGCAGCAAATAGGGGAGTGTGAATAGTTCCCAGGCTGACCCTCATTGACTTGTTGCAGGACAGCTAGGCTGATGCCCGCCAATAGCATCTAACACCAGGACTCAAAAAGCAAATAGCAGCCAATCTTTTGATCTAAGTCCTCTTGGTAGCCAGCACATGGCAGGGTTCAGGGATCTTAGCAAACAGTCCACAGGGGCTCATCCACTTACCTATAGAGATGTAACAAGTGAATATACTGGTTCTCGAAGAATTCGTAACTGGAAACAATGCCACCTTCCTCTATGGTTTGACCATTTTTATACCAAGTCACCTCTGGCTTGGGCTGACCTGATGGTACAGAAACAAGAATGTTCTTATTACATTAAGTATTTTTACCAAAAAAACTCATAAAGTTATAAATGAGAATGGGTAACAAGCAATAGGGACAAGCACAATGGAGAAGTCAGTAGGGGGACTGGAAACACCCTGTCTTATTAACAGGAATGCACCATTCAGTAAGCAGTACAGGGCATGTTCTCTCCCTCCCATGGTCCTGGGCTGGGGTGGGGATGAGGTGTACAAAATGGAAAGTGCTCTCTCCATCCTCAAGGAACTATTAAGAAAAATGATTTAAACTTGGAAATAAGGCAAAAATGTGGATAGTATCTTCTTTCAATGTCATATGGGGGCAAAGGTCCATCTAAGAATTATCTACAGGAATGTACTTAGTTTCATTCAATAGTTACTATTGATTAAAATCTCCAGAGTTAGTGAAGTTACATGTAAACTTGTAGATCTTATCCAATAAAGCTGCAAATAATCTCCATCTGGCAGAAAAGACAACCCCGTAAGTTGTAGTTTATTCCCCCCGTGGAACATTAGCCCGCATTTTACCTAACCCAGCAATCAAAACCCAGTGTTCCTTTTTTAAATGGTCTATAAATACCTAATTCCTCAAATGTTCTCTGACCAGGCCTTAACACTTTCTGGTTCCCTTTTCATTCAAAGAGTTGAAAATAAATCTTTGGAATGTTCAGTTCCTTTTTGCCCAGGAGTCATTTTATCTTTCTGAAAATTATACTTGTGCAGTGCTTAGGGGGGAGTGTAAGTTACGGTGCAAAAGAGAGAACAAAGTAGATCAGCAAGCGCCATGTCTTCCTGGGGAGGAGGGAGTCTGGTGTGCTGCTTCCCGGCTGGCAGGTGACTCAGCTCACCCCAGGAAGTGACCCCTGCTTCCTCTCTCAGAAGGGGTTCATCTTCCCTGGGGGTCATTAACCAGAGGTAATGCTAATAGGCCGGTCTGGTGAAGTCCCCGGGACGTCCATTCACACCTTGGGATTTTTTTCCCCCTGCTGATGGGGCAGGAAGGTTTCCAGTGTGTCCCAAACAGCTTTCTATCAAAACGTGTTCTATATACAGGAGGAAAGCCTGGCATTTGGGAAAATACACCTTCTCAATCCATCCTAGGAACATTCTTGTTTTCTGTCTTGCTTATTATCTCTTGATTTTCAGCAAGCAAAGCCAGAGACCCCTAAGAGAAGAGCTCCATGTTCTTCTGAGACCTGTACCGTGGAGGCCCCTGTGGACACTCAAAGCCACTTCTCTCCCTGTCCACGTCTCATCTAATCTGGGGTCTCCCAGCTAGACTTCCTCTGTGCCGACACCATGAATGTGCTGGGCGGCAGCTGCGGTGTCCCTCTTAGCCGCGGCCGCCTCCTCCTCCTCCTCCTCCTCCTCCTCCTCCTCCTCCTCCTCCTCCTCCTCCTCCTCCTTCTCGCAGGCCCTGAGCGATCAGTCCCCGGGGTGAGGCGCAGACGGGCCAGCATGTGAGGACAAGTCCCTCTCCGGCAGCTGTGTGGCTGAGACTCTTTCAGACGAATGACTAAGCCACCAAAAATGAGCTTCCCTGAAAAGCCATCGGGGAGGTTGCTAATCATAATTCATTTCTGCCTATTCTTACCAGCCTGTGTCCCCCTTGGAGTCCGTTTTATTACAGTCTTTCTTAGGGAGCACTTCACTGCTCTTTGTGTGTGGGTGTGTTTGTGACTTTTTTGAAGAAAGTATGCACAAGCTGGGCCTGGAAAATTCTGTGTGATCTGGACGCCCGTGTTTCAGACTGCTCAGGGTTTGATGCTTCTCCCAGCTTCTTCATGGCTGACTGGTTTTGTGTGTGCGTGTAAGGCACAGATCTGAATAATCAGCCAGAAATGCGACTTGCACAGGGAAGTGGTATCTGGTGCTTTGTGGGTGTTTTGGTTTTTTTCTCCTCCCTCCATTTGCTGGAAACCTTCCCCTGAAAAATCCTACCCTTGTTTATAAAGCCCACCGGCTGCAGGTGACAGGTTGAGAGGCACCTCCAACGTTTTACAGGTGTGTGGGGGTGGTAACCTCGTTTAGGGTGCACCCAAACCCTGGGGCTTCCCGGGGAGACGCGGGGGTCCTACTCTGAAGGCTCCAGAGTGGAGCTGTGTCTGTCCCTCTATCTGAATGGCTAGACACCAGGGTGTCAAATTCGTTTTCCCCGGGGGCCACATCAGCCTCGCGGTTGCCTTCAAAGGGCCGAATGTAATTTCACCTCTTTAACAGTTAAAAAGTAGTTACATTTATACAGCCCTAAAATTATTTCAGCCCTTTGAAGGCAACCGCGAGGCTGATGTGGTACCAGGGGAAATGAATTTAACACCCTGCTATAGACAAACCCCAAGAAAGGGGGGGGCTCAGCTGTGGGCCGAGAGAGGCTGAGTGCACACTCCACACTCCAGCAACCAGACCAGAGACCAGATTTTATCTCGACTTCAGCTATGGAAGCACCGCCACATCACAGGCTGGCTCTTCTCTCTGGGCTTAGAGAACCGGGTCGGGCCAAAGAGCTTTCTGTTTGCCCGGAGGAAACCCCACTGGGGCCTCCACAGCTTCAAGAATGGGGTGATGACCCCAGAAAGAAGAGAAAGCAGCACGTAAGGTACAAGATTCCACTTTCCTACCCAATTATTTTACTTCTGTCTTCTTTTGATAAATAAAGCCTTGTCACCGCTGGAGGTACAATGTCTGAGGCAGCTCTGGGTTGTTCATTGTCCAGTCCACCCCCAGCCCCTGCTGTCCGACCCCTGGGCACCTCCACCCCAGCCATAAGCTTTCGCTGCCGACTGGCACGCCAGAGGAGGGCGGGCAGGGGAACACAAATTTAGCCAGGTTTGGGATATCGGTGAAAGAACAGTGCAAGACGAGTTCAATCAAATGTCCGCAATGACATTATTCATGCCATTCCTGTGCCACAGGAAATTAAGGGTGGATTATCTAGGAAAACAACCCGTGTGGGACTCGCCCAGCCAAGAACCACACGTGAAGTGAGGCTCACGAAAATGTGTTCAGGAAGTGACTCAAAGGAATCCTTGAGAAAACAAAAATCACAGGAGGTTTACTTGCTCGGCTACTTAGAACACACTTCCCAGGTCATTTCCCCAGGTGACATTTAGTCATGCCTTCGAGAGCCCAAACAGCTGATCGGCAGGGAGAGTTCAGAGGGTGGGGAGCTAGTGATGGTTACCAGAGATTATGCAGCGAAGCACAGTGTCCGACTTCTCGGGAACTTTCTGGGAAAGCAGTGTAGATAAGAAACAAAGTGGGCGCCTCAGGGGCCCTCCTGAGTCTGTCATCCTCTCATGCCACGTGGATCTGAAAAATAAAAACCCCCAGCATTACCATTCGTTCTGGGTCTTCTTTGGCCTTCCCAGGAGTTGGAGAAATGGAGAAGGAGCGTAGGGTTGCCCCCTGGGCTCATACAAGGCAGGGGCTAGCTCTCACACCAGAGGGCAGCGTGGAAGTCCTCAAGAGCTGGGCTCAGTCTCTCTTAATTGGACGGGAGTGCTCTTCAGCTATGTTTAAGCCTCTCCTAGTGACGACGCTCCTCGTGCTCTTTCCCTGGGGCCCCAGTCTGCACCCACACCATCAATACCTGCACTAGGCAGGAACCTGGGAAGCAACGAGCTCCCTCTGCCCCTGCGTGCTAGACAGGCCCTCTGTAAACCGGTTCAGGAGGCCGCCCAGGAAGCCATGCTGTCCTCGATGTGCGCTCCCTTGATTCTTCAAGCTCCTCCCTTTCTCTACACCCTCCACCTTGGTAAACGTCTACTTTTGAATCTGTTTTGCATCCTCTCTTAATTTCTGTCTTGAGGGGGGGGTCAGGAACCCCATTCACTAGTGACACTCGGACAGGCTTTCTCAAGCACACCCCTGCCACTTTGTTGTGGGGTCTGTCCTGTGCATGGTAGCATGTGTAGCCAAATCCCTGGCATCGACCCACTAGATGCCAGTAGTGACCCCCCCCAAGTGGTGACAATCAGAAATGTCTGCAGACATTGCTAATGTCCCCGGGGGGGGGGCGTAGGGGACAGCCCTGACTGAGAACCCCCAGTCCGAGAGGATCATAGGACAGCCAGAGCCCAGAATGACAAGGAAGACAACTGCATGAGCCACAGTTGGGGCCACCCCCTCTCGTTTCTCTTTCTTCCTCTCCCCCAAGTCTTTTCATATTGGACTCAGACCACGCACACGCCAATGGGCCCCCAGAAAGAGGAGTCGATTCAATGCAAAGGAACCTCCAGGTGGGAGGTATGCGGGCCAGGTGCCTGGGGAGAGCGCTGACCAGCACTTTCATGAGCATGCATTCATTGACACTAGTCGACATGTGACATGTTGGTCACCAGGGGTGTCATTTCAGGCTGTTTCCTTTATGCTCCCTAAGTAGCTTTAATCCCCTCCGAATCTCACAGATGAGGAATGTGACGTCGTGAGGCTTACAGAGGTTCGACGCTTGTTCCCCTTCTCATAGCTCAAGTGGCTGCTGCCCTGAGCTACCCTTTGTGGCTGTGCAGGCTGACACCTTGAGTGTGCAAGGCAGCAAGTGTGCAAGGCACCCCCAGAGCTGCACCATGCACAGCTCATGCAGCTATGGGGCAGCCCTGAGAACCAGTTTTGCCTGAACCCAGAGGACGCCTGCCACCCTCCTCTGGGCACAGTGCAGGGCCGGATCTAGCCACTCTGCAGACCTAGCCTCTGTGGAGCCCCGGGCTTGGAAATAACATTCGGCTCTGTCCAGAGTCAGAACCACAGAGCTGGGGGAAAGGGAAGCCCACCCCGCAGTAGGATCCTATAGCATGAGCAGGAGACAGGCACTTAGACACTGCGAAAGGTGGCTCCAGGGAGGCTGCGGGCCCTCAAACAGAAGCCTGAGCTGAGCTCCTGGGGAAACAGGCTGGATGCCAGCTGCCACAGCCGTAGTGGAGAAGGGGCAGCCCCTCTCCACGTGGGTGTGACAGCCCCCAAACCATGCAGAACCAAACCTCCTGCTTCCCTCTCACGGTCCCAGGTTGTTCCAGATACCCCAAGAGACCAGTTGGTGGAGACAAGTTCCCAGACAGAAGTTCAAGGTTTGCCCAGCCCCTGCAACTCCTGCTGGCTGGGAAGTGAGAAGTTAGGAGGGAATCAGGATGGGAGATAAACAACATGGCCTCTGCCCTGGACTGGCTGTGTCATTTGCAGGGCCTGGTTCAAGATGAAAGTGAGGCGTTTCTTCTGCAAATATGAGTAAGATATTTAAAATGGCAATGGCAAAGCGTTAAACCGAGCCCTGGGACCCTTCCGAGTTCAGGGCCCTGTGTGAAGGCACAGACTGTGGGTGCAGGAGGCCCATCCCTGGACAGCTTCCGTGGGACATTGTGCCCACCAACGCCTGCCAGCCCTGCGCTCTGAGGCCACCCCTGCGGCTTCTGGTGTCCCCACCACATTTCCTTAATCTCCAGATGTTCCGTTTTCAGTCCTTGAAAACAGAAACACGTTCCCAAACTGCCCCGACATGAAACCCCCAAGCCCTCTGAATATCAGGATTTAAAAAAAAAAAAAATTAGCCTAGGAAAATACACTTCCCTTAACCAGGAAGAGTGTGTGCAGGATCCAAACTGTGCTTAGACTTGAGGTTTCACTAACACCCAAAAAGGGTAGAAAAAGCTGCAGATTAAAGAAGTTGCATGTTAGCATCAAATAGGAAAAAACCCACTTGGGTGTGGGACAGAGCACACGGCCGGGAGGGAAGTTTGAAGAGCCACGGGGACATGTGGGGAAGATGGAGCCAGAGAGATTAGGAAGAGGATCTTAAGGAATTGTGCTCTGTGATTATGAATTGAATTTCCAGTTATTTTTAGTTATAGGGCATTTTAAATGTGAGCCTGCTGAGGCTGGGCCACTGGGGGACCCCTGGCTAACATGTGTTATCTTTAAAAGAACCATAGGCCCCTCCCGGTGCAGACAGTAAATTAGTTGCACAGAAGAGAAAGAAAATTCATCTGCAAGTTAATAAACCTTGCAGACACCTCCCTCCCAGAGTAAGTGACAAGTACTTTTGGTGGTTGAGGAATGGGAGGGTTCTCTTTAGTTTAAAAAAGGCCAGATCTCACATACATTTGTTTCTACTTAGAAGTCATTGGAATGTCTAATGGAATAGTTGTTCTCGACTAGGTTGAAAGAAGTACCTAAAAAAAAATCAGAGGGACAATTTTTATGCTAGCCGTCTTGCACCAGACTGAAAATGTTTGAAGAAAACGCAGTGGGTGTTGTTGAATTATTGTATGAGTCAGTGACTAAGCCAGACTGAGGGTGGGTCCGACATACACAGACAACCAGAAAAGCGAATGGTGACCTGCTGTCCCCTCACTGCTGTGCATGTGCGGAAAGAAGCCTTTCCATTAATACCAACGTGCTCACTCATCCCAGGTTGGAGGTTTGAGCTGGTGATGGGAGCTGGAGCTGTGCATTGGATTTGACATAAGAAGTGGATATTTCTCTGGGTTATTGAACAAAGAACTACAGGGCTACATATGAGCGTAAGAGAGAAAGAATGGAGTCTAATTCCAATTTTAAACTTTTGATGGTATATCACAACTAGAAGTGCAAATTGTATTCACGATCTCATCTACTGTCCTTGTATCAGTATAAAATATGGGACAAGTGTTAGCAAATATATAAAAATGCAGCTTTGGAAAAAGCAAGAGAGAGACAAAGAGAGACTCTTAGATCTGGAATCATCCCCTGGATAAAGATATTCTGTGCATTTGTTGCCAGTCTGGTAAATTCCCCCAAAGATGAGGAATGTGCAGACTCCGCATCTTGTGTCCTAAGAGAGCACAGTGATTTCGACATGGCACAAAGGCAGGCTTTTCCATGCAAGGAAAGCGGCGGACCAGGAGTCAGGAGTGTGAGTCCTAACACTGCCACTTACCATTTTGAATGGCAACAGAGCACAGGAGGTTCAGAGTGGCAGAGCCAGATTCCCTGGGTTCGAGTTCCGGCCCCACCCCTTACTAGCTCAACAAACACGTCACAATCTCTGTGCCTCAGATTCCTCAACTGTAATATGGAGGGTTAATAGTTGTAGATGCTTCATAGGTTGCTGTGAACATTAAATGAATTGTTGCCTATAAAGCACTTAGTGCGGTGTCCAGCACAAAAGTGCATGCTCAGTAAATGTTAGCATTATTATTGTTGTTGTTGTTGCTGTTACTTTAGTGCAGCTTCAGGTTGGAAACACCAGCTCATCGGACTCATCATCAACTGGCAGTCGTGATGCCGGTGTCTCTGCAGCATGGCGTTTTCAACAGCTCTGAAGAGACATATCTCTAACACAATTCACCCACTTTCAAGTGTGCAATTCAGGGGCTTTCAGTATGTCCAGAGTTGTGCAACCATTACCACAAATAGTGTTAGAACATTCCCATCACCTCAGCAAGAATCCCACAGCCCTTGGTTTTCACCTCCTGTCTTCCCATCCTCCCTGCCAACACACACACAGCCCTAGACAATCACTAATCTACCTTCTGTCTCTATGGACTTGCCTAGTCTGCACATTTTGCATAAACAGAACCATATAACATGCGGTCCTTTGTGACTGGCGTCTGTCTCTTAGCATCTTTTCAGGGTCCATTCACGTCGTAGCAGGTACCAGTACTCCAGTTCTTTTTATGGCTGATCTTCCTCACTTCCCAGGAACAGCTGTTGGGGCAAAGGGCTGACGCCCTGGCTCTCCACATTCCTAGGAGACTTGCCCGGACAAGGGGGGCTCGGAGGGCAGGGAAGAGGCTTTCGTGACTGGAAAGCTCTCCTCCCCAGCACACAGCATAGGGTGTGGGCCAAAGCCAGGCTTTGTCACTCTCTAGGGACAAATCTACACCCAGCTCTGCCACATACCTGGTTGAGGTACTGAGCCTCGTTCCTCATCTGTAGAGGGAGATCATGATAATGTTCTAAAAATCAGAATAATGTGTGTCGGTGATTGCCACGATGGCAATCATTAGACTATGAAGAAAGACTTCACTTGTTTCAAGTTCCTTTTGAGCTGTGTGTTACCACAATGATGTTCTTTTCAAGTGATTGACCAATTAATGCCTAACACTCTCTCCTGGTGTTCACAGACCTCTGTACTAGTCATTTACAAGACGTGACCCCTTCCATCCCATCTCAGAGTCCAGCACTATGGATGGAGTGGGAAGACAGGACAAAGTGAGCCGTCAAGAGTTGGGTTGACATTGAGGACCTCCTGTGTCACCTGTGACTCCTCCCCAGGTGACTACTTCCTGACAGCAACGTCCCACAGGTTATAACTCTGACAAACACCCCAGTTGACT